ATATAAGACCGGCCACGAAGCGACGGGGAGGTAATAAGTAATTGAATGTATGCGGACAAAATATTGTTAGCCACGTGAGACGTGAGCTAGAGCATTTGTTATAGAGCGACTGTTGAAATTAAGTGTATCGTAAAGTTGTATTCGGAAAGAATAAACCAGTTTTATTTAAGAAAGGACTTGTGTCGCTGAAGTTTCGTTGGAACAAATTTACGGAAAATTAATTAACAAACAGAGACATAACAGTATTTATATGTCTGCTTAATTCACCCTTAGGAAAACAAATTTTCTTTAAGCTTTAAGAAAAAATTACTAAGACCTGGTGGTAAACATTCTGTTTGTACATGAAACTGAAATCATCAAGCCTTTATAACTAAAGTGTTGTTACAATATATGTAAGAAATATACCTATTAGCATAGATAAGATCTTACACTTCATCTATTGAAATATGTACATCAAAGTTATGTTTATAAGAAGAAAGGTTCAAGTGTATCATCTGGTTGTTACAGTATAACGTATATACAATAATAACACCTTTCAATTGGAGTAAGCTATGTACTTAGGGCAAAACTAAAAATCAACTTGCCTTCAGTGTAGTTAGTCAAATGTACTTTTCTTACATATCTACTTATAAATATTAAGAGTGCATTATTTCATCAGGTGTTTGCCCCTGCTGTTAATGATATTTTCTGGCTGTAATGAGGTCCCCCCCCCCCCTTCCAGGTGGCACAGTGGTATGTTTCGATACCTGTGGTGGGCAGAGCACAGATGGGCCATTGTGTAGCTTTCTGCTTAACTACAAACAAATTCATGAGGTTTGGCCAGCTTAGGAGATTTAGTTTAGTCCTGTGTGTGTGCAGTTTTAAAAATTTTCTAATTTAGCATACCCAAATTCAAGTTTACTTATGTTGAGGTTAGAGCTGGGCTGGTATTTGTCATTAGATTAATTTGACAGGCTCATTAATCAGATTAGTACACCATGCCCCTACAACCTATACTAACAAACTAAAAATAAAAAAGTATATTAATTATTGCTTTAAATGTATTCACACATGATAATACTCTGTTAACTACCATATATAATAGATTAAATATATACAATGCCTGCTACAATCTTATACCTATCATTACTGTCATCCTCACAACACGTGTTCAATAATGGTCACTTTTTCAAAAGTCATTCTTAACCTGATGATGACCAAAGGAGGTATTTTATGTAAAAGTTTTTAATTCCTATATCAGCCATCTCTACTATATGCATATATATATATATATATATTTACTTCAAGTGGGTTCCTCGTCATCATGAAAAAAAAATAATTTGGTGTCTTTTCCAACCTTTGCATTATTCTACCATGGAATTAATTTTCCTTTTTTCTTTCACATTGTTTTGAATTGTTCTTTTAAAATAAATTTGTGTATTAACCTTGATTTCATAGACCTCTTCTGAAGCTTGACATTTGGATGTTTTTTTGTTTTTTTTTAAAGTATTTTTTCCACAGTTTTATGGACATTTTATACTTGGCAAATCAATTGATAATTTGACTAAATCTTACCATGAGATCACCATTATATTTCTTTTTTTTTTTAAATATGCAGTTATCTCACAAATAAATTTAAAATTATGTAAGGAAGACATTTTTTGTTCTCTCCAATAAGGTTAATGTTTTTATTTGTAACATGTCATGATTGTAGTTACAAATAATTAAGTAGACAGTTAGCCAATTTATTTATAAGATAACATTAAAGTACAACAAGGGACCCTTTGAGTCATCTAGGCCATCCTACCCACTAAATTAAATCACTAAAGAATTCAAAGCCAACCTTTACCATTCAATTATTATCAATTTCCTTAACAATCTTAAACATCTCAATTAGATCTCCTCTAACTCTTCTTTTTTCAAGAGAAAACAAGTTCAGAGATCTTAACCTATCCTCGTATAACAACCTTTCCATCCCAAGTATCATCCTAGTAGTCCTCCGTTAAATTCTTCCTAACAGTTAAGTGTCCTTTCTAAAGTAAAAAGCCCAAGACTGAACAAAGCACTCCACATGTGGCCTAACCATGACCTATACAATGATATTATAACTTCTTTAGACTTGTACTCAATATTTATGTAGCTACAACTTAAAATCCTATTTTCACTGCCACTATCAACAGCACATTGCTTGGATGGCTTAAGAAACTGATCAACCAGAACATCAAGGTTTTTTTCATCCATATACCTGTTAAGTTTATTCCCATCAAAATTATACTCATAATACAAATTGTTATATCCTATAAGCATTATCTTGCATTTATTATAATTAAAATCCATCTGCCATTTATTTGGCCAACTCACTAAATGATCTTAATCCTTTTATAAAGCAGCAGCATCCTGCTCATTGCCGGCAACACCCAACATTTTATTGTCACCAGCAAATTTATATAATTTTTTAACCATTCCTTCATTTATGTCATTAATGTACATCAAAATGAGCAAAGGTCCTAACTTTGGGCCCTGAGGTACCCCACTTGTGACATTAATCCAGTTTGGGTGAATTCCATTTATAACAATTCTATTCCATTTAGCCAGTTTTCTAACTAATGAGCTAACCTATTCCCCACACCTACAAAGATAATTTTTTAGCAAGTCTTTTATGTGACACCTGTCAAATGCTTTCTGAAATCCAGTTAAATCAAATACATACTCGTACCCTTATCTACATAAGCAGTCATTTCTTCAAAAAATGTCAAAAGATTAGTAAGGCAAGATTTTTCCCCTAGTGAAACCATGCTGAGTACCCAACAAAATTTTAACCTTTTTTAAATGACTTTGCAAAGCATCTTTTATCAGACTTTCAAAAACTTTTCCCACCACTGATATTGTAATGGAGCTTGCAATGTATACATCCAAAACTTGGATCTCAGAAACTACCGCACCGATCATCTCCAATCATAACTGGAAATATTTTTATAACTAGGCAGTATTTTTATAGTTGAGCATTAAATAAAACAATTGAAATTTCCACAAAAAATATATGTTTCAGATTTAACCAAAAACAATTACAAACAAAAAGGAGTAAGCTTCAAATATATAACAATCAAAAAACTAACTTAACAAAAATAATTTGTTTTTGTATAGTGAAAATCTCATGAGTGTTACAACACAAAAGCAAGGCAGTTTTGATTGATAACCGTGTCTACAAAGAAATACTTCAATAAAATCTACTTTGTGATGTAATGTTGTGATGATAGCTCATTTTTAAACTAAAGTTTCAATAAAATCCGTTTTCTCATGGATGGTGAACATTACTGAATGTCAAGTATGAGGACTTTGTTGTAGAACTGTCCGACAATTCTAAAAAGGCTGCAGGCCCAATAGCCTTCTGCAAGAACTTGCAGGTATTTCTGCTAGTAAAACTAATAGACCTCTAATTACTGGAACAATTTTTATCACCTCCCTTGAAAAGAGGAGTAACATTAGCCATCTTCCAATCTTCTACAACCCACCTATTATTCAAAGGCTTTGATAAAATAATAGCAAGTGTCTCACATATCCAGTCCTTAACTTCTTTCAAAACCCTTGGGTAAATATCTGGCCCAAGAGCTATATCATTCTTTACACTTTCCAATTTCTTCTTAACAAGCTCTGAATTAATGTGATCACCTTGTTCAATCTTGTTTCCATCTAGCAGCTGTTGAGGGTGAGGAATATTGCTTAAGCCTTCACTATTAAAAATTGGAGAAAAAGGAGAATTTAATAACCCAGCCATTCCATAATCATCAGATACTAGCCTTCCTGTATAATTTCTAAAAGATCTTATGCCCATCCTAACATTTTACTTACCCTTAATATGTATTCGAAGAAATCCTTAACATTTGTTTTGACTTTTTCAGCCATCCTTTTATCATACTTGATTTTTTAATTTCCCATTTGACAAGCTCTCTTGATCTTCTATAATCTTCATTAT